GGGATGACATTGGGAAACTAGGAAATGGTGAGATTTTGGGCAGGGTCACAGAGCAGCAGCGGGGGATGATGGGGGACCAGTTGGAAGCAGTGCTGGCAGATGCAGCCATGGCTCCACTTGGCCCTTGCTCCTCTGGGCCCAAGGATTTGGTTGGGTCTGAGCTGACATCTGTCAACTTTGTGATGTGAGTGGCTTCCTCAGCCACCCGATGCCCTGTGGACAGCTCGACCCTGTGTGTCACCAACACCATGGTGATGGTGGTCATGGCTGTGCCTGCCTTATGCAGGGCTCCTGTGCAGGGGCGCTGTGGAGTGGGATCCCCATATCTCCTCGGTGGCGCCAGTTTTCCTGAGTCATCAAGATGGAGGGAAGGTTGTGTAAACTCCAGGACGTGTCGCCATGCATTGGCCATAAACCCTGATTTCCAAGTTCTCCCCACATCACTCAAGAACCTGCAAATGGTGGTCCTTATACAGGGTGGCTGATGGAGGGGAGGGACTCTGCAACCCTCTGTGACATCATGGTCACTATTCTCACTGTTTCTAAACCTGGTTTTAAGAAGCAAAATAATGAATGGGGAGAAGGGACAGTATTTGAATGGGGTGTGGCAGCTTTTTGTCTGACAGAAGAAAGGACTTAGAGGGACACTGGGATTTCCCTAGTGAGGATCATTAAAAGCAAGCTAAAGCTCAGGAGGACTCTGCCTTACAAGGTCCCTTGGGAAGCACCACAACGATTTGTGAGGAAGTCCTACATAAAAATCCCAACTTTAATTACATCCTCATGAGCTCTGAGCCTCACCTTTGTACAGACTTTAAACCTGAGTAAAAAAGCAAGAGGGCAGGAGATTCACACAACTGGGTGACAGAATGTGTCACAGGTTCAAAGCAGGGCAAGGAAGAATGTAAAGACTCGAGGTCACTGTCAGTTTATTGTCTGTCTTTTGTGGATGTTTCAGCCAGTTGTGGTTTTGTCTTTCAAAACTGCTTCTCCTGAGCCTGCGTGTCAAGGTTGTGTTAGTGGCAGCTGCCTGTTCTCAGCAGACATTGCCTAAGACTCTCATGTGGAAAGGCAGGGTATTAGGAGCAAACAGGATTCAAAGATAGTCTTGTGGGGGACATGATGGAGGGATCAAAATCAACTCTAGGATCATGTAACATGGTCCCCTGAAGTCAGCCTGTCCTTAAGGTTATGGTACAGGAGGAGTGGTGTGCGGGCTCAGGCCAAGGGTGGGTCAGAAATCCCAGGTCTGCTGGAAGCAAGAAACTTAAGGAGAGTTGGGTTAATTGTTTTTTACAGTTAGCTCAGCTAACCATATTTTTTGTTTGTCTTCTTATAGTGTTGTCACTTTTGACCATTGACATGTTTGTTTGTTCCTTTTAAATATGTATATTCATTTTCACGTGTTTTTAAACCTTATTTGTTTTGTGTTGCTTTTTACTAAACCTAGGACACTCTTATATAATATTAGACAATCTATAGCTTTCTTAGCCCAAAGCTCTTTAGTGTTTTTAGGAATTTGATATAACTAGGACATTTAAGGTTTCTTGGGCTGTTTAAAACAGTGATTTGGAAAGTATAGAATTTTTTTTTTGGTTGTATTGGGGTTTGAACTCAGGGCCTCAAGTTTCCTAGGTAGGATCTCTTACTACCTGATCCACTGCCAGCACTTTTTTAATGACGGCTTTTTTCCAAATAGGGTTTTGCAAACTCTTCGCCCAGGTTGGCTTCCAACCAAAGTCTCCTGAGCTCTGACTCCAGACTGAAATTGTAGAATTTTATATGTCTGTTTAGCCTGAAAATCTTGGTGACAGTGAGCTCTTTCTAAGGATATGTGCTATCCCTTTCCTTGTTTTATGTTGCCATTCCCAAATAAAAGGTATAATTTTGATTTATGTGCATACTGAATTATCCTTCCTGTGTCCTGTCTAGTTTTTCATTCAGAGTAGACTACAAGAGCACAAGTACAAACATCTGATGTCTGTCTCTCTGTTTAGTCACAGGGGATGCACTCACTTCCCTGAGAAACAACTTAGTGTTTTTTTCCTCCTATATGGGACTTGGGCTGAGAGTCAAGGCCCGGTGCTTCCAAGCAGGCCCTCTAATCCTGAAGCCACTACCTTAAGGTGGTTTTTGTGGGGATTTTTGAGATACCATTGGGCAAACTGTTTCCTGGATTGGCCTCCAACCCTCATCCTCTTGATGTCTGCATTCCTGTCCAATTAAAGTGGGTTTTTATTCTGGTTTTCTTTGAATTTTTTGTAGTTGATTTGATCTCAGGTCCTCAGGCTTGCTAGGCAGGTGCTCTCACTTCTTGAGACACTGTCCCATTCTTTTTCTGTAATGTGAATTTTTAGATAAGGTCTCATGAACTGTTTGTCCAGGTCTAGCTTCAAATTGCTACCCTCCTGATTGGTGACTCCTGAGTCACTAGGTTTACATTGTATTATCTTGGATACTCACTAATTTATACGGCTTTCTGTGAGAAAACATAAATTCAGAAAGATTTATAGATCAGTAGTGTTGTTTTCTTCCAAAAGAGCAACCTTCCATGAGCCTGGCTTCTCCTCTTGTTAGCTGACACTGCACTGTTGAACATCCTGTACAAAGAAGCAGTGTTTGCACATGGCTGAAAGCTGTGGTAATCTTGTGGCCACCTGAATATTTTACATACATAAAATACAAACTTGGACTTTGAACCAATGATTTTTTAAAAACATTTTTCTTTTCCTCTTGCAAGGAAAGATGTAGAAATCTCTAACTAAAGGCATGTTTAGTCCTTTGGCAAGCCTAATGTGCCTCGATCGCTCAGGTACCAGCCACCTCCAGCAAGCAGCATGTGAGCTAAGAGTTTGTTTTATAGAAAACAATGTGTAGAAATTATATCTTTGTCCAGCACCTGGTGACATCATTTACCATACCATCTCTTAGGATGCTTGAATAGCAAAAAAGTGAACCCTATACAACTGTCAATTTACCTGCCCTGACTTTTCATCAGAGCCTGTTTCCACTGACTCTTAAACTCCTGGTTCCACTCTCACATGCTACTTCCATCCTTAGAATAGGTACACTTCCTAGGCATACCGGGCTGAGAGGTTCTGCTGTGCCTTCTGCATTGAGGCTGTCTGGGGATATGTGACATAGTGATGGAGCACTGGATTATGATCTCAGGGCTTCCAGCTTGCTAAGCAGCCACTATTTCTGCTTGAGCTATCCCACCTGTGTTGGGTGTTTTTGAGATAGGGTCTCTGGACATATTTCCTCTTGAGCTCTGTTCCTGTGAGGTAGGGAAACAGGCATGGTTCCCCAGAGTCAGCAACCTGCAGTATCTAAATCTTTGATGGAGCCTGCATTTTTGTCATACCTGAATTCCTTTATGCAACAAAGATTGAATAATTTCCCATATCCTTTGAGACTATGAAGTTTAGGTTTTCCATTTAGGTCTGTTTTCCACATAGACCAAATACATTCTAGGCATGAGCTGCTGTGTTTGGCTTTGTTTTGTTGTTGCATTTGTTTATTTCAGTATGACAGGATGAAGTATGGACAAGTGTTTAGCGAAAAAAAAGAAATATTTCCTGTCCCCACCCAGGAAATGAACCAAAGACTCCTATATTTTTTTTTCGATATAGAGTCTACCTAAGTAGCCCAGGATGACAGTGAACTCACAATTCTTATTTTGCCTCCAATATGCTGGGATGAGTGGCTGGTACCAAGTTCTTCATTGGCTGCCTTCACATATTCTTTCCCCATAGGATTAGCTGCTTTACTAGGATTACAGGTAGTAGCCACCCACACCCAGCTACTCCCTTGCTTTTTTATGTTGTTCATTGTGGAATACTTTTGTGCAGTGAAACAGCAGGAAGTGAAACTTAGGGACCCTTTTTCTGGGTGTTTATAGTGACTTTCTCATTTTCCCAGTTCATTTGGTTAAGGTTACATGAACTAGTATTTATTGTCTGGTTAGCAAAAGGGGGAAACAAAAAATGATTATAAAAGTCATGATTGTTATCTTTAGTTCCTTGAAAATCACATCAGATGGAGGACAGGGACAAGGAAACATTGGAGGGATAGCAGCAACAGTGGTCCTGTGAAGAGTAACATTGAAGGAGAGCTGCACAGTATTTGCCAAACGGAGTCTTTTTGGTTCACCCTGAAATCTACCTTCTGCTTCCAGGTGGTTTCTCAAACTAATGCAGTTGGTTTTTGCAAAGGAAGTGCAGCATTCTGTCACTGGTACTGTGCTGAGTTGAAACTGGCTGAAATTAAATATAGTTTACCATCCAGTCCTTTTTCTGAAAATGACCACCCTTCAGTAGACTCTTGCATCTTGAAATACCCACATGGGAGAGGGGTTGGAAGTGAATTTTTTTTTTTGAGGGGAAATAAATTCATCATATTCCTTATTCTGTCATGTTTTCTGTATCCTATCCCCTGCCTATATAAATTAACAAATTATTTTGGGACTCAGCTTAAATGTCCCTTCCTCAGCAAGTGTCCTTACTCCCTCTTCAGTTAGTTTTATTGCTTTCTTGAAGACATCAGTCATAAGAAATAAATTCTTCTGAATAGTGTCACCTAATGATCTTCCCTCTTGCGGTGAGATTAGCACTACTTTAATTTCCACAAAGCCTCTTTGGAGTGTGCATTTATAAGGGTTGTGTTGAGACTCCTGGTATTACAAAGGTGACAGTTTAGAATGTTCCCTGTGTGTTCTTGATGATCACGTAATGTGACAGGTTAGGGAAAAGAAAATCAAAATATTATCCTCCACCCACAAAATGAGTGAATTGTGGAAGACAGTTTCAAATGAAAAATTTTAAATGTACAACATAAGAGAGTCTCAGTTGGATGAAGAAAGAGAGAGTTACAGTGCTTGACAAGATAGGCTGCTGGGAAACAATGGCCCATCCCTTTAATCCTGGCTACATAGCAGTTTCACATTGGGAGGCTTCGGTTTCCAAGCAGCCAGGCCAAACAGTTTGAGACCCCCATCTGCAATGTTAGCAGAGCTAAGTGGACTGGAGGTATGAGTCAAGTGGTAGAGAGGCTATTTTGCAAGGAAGAAGACCTGTATCTAAATCCTGATACCACCAAAAAAAGAAGGCAGAGATTAGGGGGAATGTGATTCAAAACTAGCTTTTCAAAGAGTTCGTGATACCCTATCATGGAAAACCCTTCACAAAAAATGACTGGTGCGTTGGCTCAAGGTATAGGGTCTGAGTTCAAACTCCAGTACTGGAAAAAAAATTGCATGTTGATCATGGAGACTGTTTGGAAACACTCAGTTCCTCTTTCATTTTACCTGATGAGTTAATGCCACCAAAGTTCCAAGCACAGTTGAACTTTGTGTTCAAACATTTCTAAGAGTACATAGTCTCAGGACAAGTGGTTTTTGTTTTGTTTTTTTCTTTTTTCTCCTTGTGGGAGTGTGGTTTGAACTCAGCACATCCTTACCAGCCCTAATGATGTTGTCTTGTGCAAGCCAAATTGCACTTCATCGTTATGACAGAAATTATAACCTCACTCCTTAATAAGAAATTGGGATGATTCCGGAGTATTCTGGTTGTTCTGCTACTGCTGTTGTTTTCACAATTATTTTCAGGCTAGTATTAAAAGTGCTATGTGAAAGAGTGCGGGTTTGCATGCAGAGTAATGTTGAATCACCAAGATATGGAATAAACACTTTGAGAACACAGTATCATGTGAACACTTGAAGTCTAGATCTTCATTATTGTCAGTCTGACCTTCCTCCTTGAAATACACTTGTCATGTTTTAGGCATCTGTGACCTTTGATGACGTGTGTGTCAACTTCACCCAGGAAGAATGGGCTTTGCTGGATCCTTCACAACAGAAACTGTACAGGGATGTGATGGTAGAAACCTTCAAGAATCTGGCCTCTGTTGGTAAGGATGACTTCATTCCCTTGTTGCTCTTCAGTGCTTTGGAGTAATTTGGAATATGGAAACCATAAATTCAGCGAATATACCAGGTGTTGGCACATTATACTATAAGCCTACTTAGTATCTAGTAGTTTTTCTATAGTAATATTATTCAAAATGTTTTCTTTTTCTGTCTCTATTTTATTAAAAAAAATTAACAGAGGAAGATCAGACCATTGAAGATGTTTACAGAAATTCCAGAAGAAATCTAAGGTAATTTGTACTCACAACAAACAGCAACTTAAATACTGAAGGAAAGGAATGTGAAACAGATCATGTGAAAGGGAGGTCAGCAGCGAGAGGGGAGAGGGTAAAGCAGGGTATGGTTGATTTACTTTTATTGGTGGGTATGGGGTGTAAGGAGTTGTGGTTTTAACTGTGACCTTGGAACTGGCAAGGCAAGCATTCTAACACTTGCAGCATCCCTCCAGTGTGTTTTGCTCTGGGTTTGTTGGACATAGGTCTTGAGAAATATTTGCCCTGGTGGACCTTGAACCTGGATCCTCTCAGTCTCACTCTCCCTAGTAGCTAGGATCACAGGAACTAGCCACTCCCCACCATATTTGATGTACTTTCTGTACATGCATTTATATGGAACAGTGAAACCTATTGAAGTTATTTTAAGGCACGGAATGGGGGAGGAGGAATACTGGTGGAGGGGATGAAATAAACTTGTATATACTATATGTGTATACAGAAATTTCCCAGTGAAATCCCGTGTATAAATACATGTAGCAATTAAAATATTCAAAAAGAAAAGAGAAGGAACAAGAAGTGTCACTTAAGAATCAAAGAGGATTGTAGGTGTGTCCCAAAAGATAGCGTGCGTGCATTGCAGTTGTGAAGCACTGATTTCAAACTGCAGTCCACAAAAAAAGAAGAATCAAAAGAGTCAGGGTGAAATTGTATGTTTTTTCTTTTGTGCTCAGGATCAAACTCTGGGCATCCAGCTTGCTGCATATGTGCTCTACCATTTGAGCCATTCCACCAACCTAGAGTAAAATTTTTTTTAACTTCTCTTTTTTTTTCATTTATTCATATGTGCATACAATGTTTGGGTCATTTCTGCTCCCTATTCCCTGCCCCCTCCCTAGAGTAAAATTTTTAAAGAAGAAAATGATGTTTTGGGCTGGTAGACTTTCTCAAGTGAAGTAGTACTAACATGTTAAAGGGCTGGCAGACTGGTGCAGGTGGTAAAGCACCCACGTAACAACTGTGAGGCCTTCACTTTAAACACCAGTACTACAAAAAAAAAAAAAAAAAGGAAGGAAGGAAGAAGGGAGGGAGCGAAGGAAAGAGGAGGGAGGGAGGAAGAAAAAGGAAATTCCAATCCAAAATTTTCCAATATCAGAAATGTGTAGTACCAACATGATGCCCCAAGTGATAATCTGCTTTTTAATGTACAAAATCTTTCATGCAATAAATTGTGAATAATTATATGCTCTTTCCTTCAGGGTGTGAATATGTGGTGAATTTGCAGCAAATGAACTCTGTGTTTGGATTGGGGGCTATAATCTTCAATATAGCTTCTTAGGATTATGCAACTACGTCAAAATCTAACTGATTTTGTTCACATCTTTTTCATGTCCAATACTCAAATACATTTAAATGTAAAGTAGATTGTCAGTGTTTGCAAAATACTGGGATGGAATCTTTAGATACCTGTCACAATACTACTGTTTGATAATATATTTCCTGGTACCATCCTGCATGGTCAAAAATTCTTTCAGCCCATAAAACATTACTTTTCCTGGTGTGTATTTGAAAATATAGCTTAGTAATGTGTTTTTCATTATTTCTAGAAGTCAAGTGGTAGGGAGATTCTGTGAACACAAAGAAGATATTCAGTATGGAGAAGTCTTCGGCCATACTGCAGATCATATTATGAGCAATAATACTCCTAGTGGAGTGGGAACAAATGAAAACTGTGTGTGTACAGAAGTCTTCATCAGGAATCCAGCCCTGAGTCTGTCCTTCAGAATTCAGAGTGGACCCGAGCCACATGAGTATCAGGAATACAGAACAAACCCACTTAAATGTAAGGATTCTGGGAAAATCTTTCCTGAATCCAGATTTCTTAAATGGCACAAAAGAAGTCACCCTGGAGAGACAGCCTTTCTAAGTAAGCAGTATGGAAAAGCCTCCTTTCCATTGAGTAGCCTTTGTAAACATGAAATGACTCATGGCAGAGAAAAACTCTATATTTATAAGCAGTGTGGGAAACCCAGCTCACATTTGTGTGCTGTTGAAGAACATGAAAGGACTTACGGTACAGAGAAACCCTATGTATGTGAGCATTGTAAAAAAGCTTTTAGTTCTTCCAGATACCTCAAAACACATGAAAGAACTCACACTGGAGAAAATCCCTTGGTATGTAAGCAATGTGGAAAAGTCTTTAGTGCGTACAGTTCCCTCAAAACACATGAAAGAATTCACACTGGAACAAAACCTTATGCATGTAAAACATGTGGGAAAGCCTTCTATACTTCCAGTAATCTTCAAAGACATGTAAAAACTCACAGTGGTGAGAAACCATATGTATGTGAGCAGTGTGGAAAAGCTTTTAGTACTTCCAGTTACCTAAAAACACATGAAGAAATTCACACTGGAAAGACCTTTGCATGTAAGCAATGTGGGAAAACGTTTAGGTCATCCAATCACCTCAAAAATCATGAACGAATTCACACTGGAGTGAAATCTTATGAATGTAAACAATGTGGGAAAGCCTTCTATTGGCCCAGTGGTCTTAGATCACATGAACAAATTCATTCTGGTGAGAAAACCTATGTATGCAAGCATTGTGGAAAAGCTTTTACTTCTTCTAGATACCTGAAGTTACATGAAGGAATCCACATTGGAGCAAAACCTTATGCATGTAAACAATGTGGGAAAGCCTTCTATTGGTCCAATGTCCTTAGAAAACATGAAAAAACTCACAGTGGTGAGAAACCCTATATATGTAAGTAATGTGGAAAACCATTTAATTATTTCACTGACCTCAAACACATGAAGGAATTCACACTGGAGAAAAGATCTTTGCATGTAAACAATGAGGAAAAGCCTTTACTTCATTCAGATACTTCAGAACACACGAACGAATTCACACTGGAGTGAATCCTTATGAATGTACACAATGTAAGAAACCCTTGTCTTCTCCCAGGAACCTCTTGAGACATACACAAACTCACCCTGGGGCAAAACCTATGTATGTTACCAGTGTGGGAAAGCCTTCAGTTGAGTGTCCGTGAAAGACATGAACCAAGCCGCAATTATGTAATGTAGAAAGAAAATAAGGAGAGTCAATCCCTTGCATGGGCACAGTCACTTAGTTGCACAAGTTTGTCATGCCTGTGGTTGAATTAGCACTGATTCCTTTCCAGACATGGAACACCTAATAAATCTGCTTCTGGACTTAAAACTCACTTTTTGAGCTTGTATAATATAAATTGTAAAGGCTGGCAGAGTGGATCATGTGGTAACAGCACCAGCCTGACAAGTGTGAAGGCCCTGAGTTCAAGCCCCAGTGCTGCTCGACCCCTGCAAAAAACAGTAATATTTTTAATTTCAAAGATGACATAACAGAAATGGCAAATACTTGTTTGCTGTGTATTCCAATAAGGAATTAAAATATTTTTATAATTGATATCTTGGCTCCATTGGGATCACCTGTAATCCTAGCTGTTTGGGAGCAGAGAGCTGGAAGATCAGAGGTTGAAGCTAGAGGGATCAAATAGCTGTGAGACACTATCTTGAAAATACTCAATAACATTCAGGGCCTATGAAGTGGCTAAAGTGGTAGAAGGTCTTCTTAGCAAACTGGGAATCCTGTTTTCAAACTCCAGTACCACCAAAAAAATCCCAGTTACAATAGAAACACTATGTGCTTGCTCCTGCTCTGCCTTTCATGGGCTTATGTGGGAAGGAATGTAATACCTATGTTTATAACAGTGCTATTGACAATAGGCAAGCTATGGAATCAGCCTCCATGCCATACAGCCAATATACCAATAAATAAAGTGTAGTGTATATATGTAGTGTAATATTTTTAATGCAGAAAGAAAAATGGAATTATGTAAATTGCAGGAAAATGGATGGACCTAGAGCTCTAAATGTTAAGAAAAATGAACAAGTCTCAGAAAGACAAATATCACGTTTTATATAATATACATAATGTAGGACTTTTACACAAATGTGCAAGGGGGACATTTTGAGGTGGAAATCACTGCATTATAGGCATCCATGTAAATAACACAGTTAAGCCCATCGATCTAAAAGGCAGGGAGGGAGGAACGGGATGAGAAGAAAGTATAATATGTGGGATGAAAGTACATTATGAGATTGTATGGTAGAAGCACACAGAAACTTCCTTGTACAGTAAGGCACACTAGTAAACACATGTTAAAACGAAAGCAGAAATCCAAGAAATACGTATAGATGATATATGTTAACAATAAACAAAGAAGAAGGGATGAATAATTCAACTTAACCCTGGAGATTTGACTCAAGCAATACAAGCATGGCTAGCAGCAGGAGGAAAATGTCATTCATTCCTTTCTGCTAAATTAATACCCAGTTCATTTATGGCAGCACTTTTTTTTTCTTGAGGCAGAGACTTTACCTCTTCAGCCATTCCTCTAACACCAAAAACTTCAAAAAAGTAGTGATTTCTTAGGAAAGCAGAAGACAAGATACATGCTATGAGGCAGTTTCCTGGTCTGGAAAGTCTGGATGGATTCAGCTAAATACAATTATAACCAAGGCTGGACCAAGATAACCCAAGAGGAGGAAGCCTGGGAAAGGGGAGAAATGACCTGTAATCTGTGTAGGAAGCAACCTATAAACTCATTAGTTACTGTATACTTCAGAGAAACCTTACAGACGCAAGTGAGATGAGTGGCCAGAATATGCAGAGAACCTGCATGAACATAAGAAAGTGGGCAATCCTCCAGGTCTCTCAGTTGACTTCAGAAGCATGCCATGACTCTCACTGTAGAGAGACGCTAGGACAATAGTGATGACACCTTAGGATGTCACACTTCCCATCAGATACACAAAAAGACTCCTAGAGAAAAAACACAGACATGTAAACTATGGGAAAGCCTTTATTTCTTCTAGTTACATGGAAATACATGAAAGGATTAGCACTGTGTAAGCACTGTGGAAAAGCCTTCTTGTCTGACTCATGTTCAAAATGTGAAAAAACAAGGGGCATAAACCCTATCTCTGCAAGCAGCGTGGGAAATCCTTCATTTCTTTAATTGACATTTGATAACAGAAACGATGTCAAGATGTTGCTCTTTGTATGTGAGCAACGTGGCAAAACTATTTGGCACAATATCCTTTGAAGACATGAATTAATACACACTGAGAAAATATAAATTTAAAGAATGCGGAAAATCCTGCACTTGTTCTGGTTCCCTTAAGAGGCATGTGTGGACTCATACAGGAGACAATTCCTGAATTCAGAATGTGGGAAGTCCGCATTACCACATGAACTTTCTAGTAGATATGACAATGGTTATAAAGGGAAGTAGCTACCATGCACATTTTAGGAAAGGCTCTAGTCATCCCTGTTCAGTTGAAGAACATAAAATAGGATACTGTGGTGAAAAAATCCTCACTAGCAAGGATGTTACAGACTCTTCATATATGAACACAGCAAAGATGAAAACCTTTTTTAAGTTAAAAAAAAACAAAGTTGCCATTTAAAACAAATACTTTGATCTCCCAGTTGTAACAGGAAAAGACTACCACAAATGCTCGCAGATGCCAGGTACTGGTGATTCACTCCAGTAATCCTAGGAACTCAGGAGGCAGAGATCAGGAGGATAGCAGTTCCAGGCCAGACCAGGCAAATAATTCAAGTGACAGAATCTCCAAAATTCTGTTACAATAAAAGGCTGGCAAAGTTGCTCAAGTGGTAGAGGATAGAGTGCCTGCATAATAAGCCTGAGGCCCTCAGTTTAAATCCTAACCTCACCCCACAAAATTCTCACAGGTATAATTTTAGCTTAATCACTCATAACAGCCCAGTCTTTCTCAGTGATTGTTGTTGCTCTCTTCCACACCACCATGCTCCTCAACTCTGTCACAGGAAATAGAGATGGAGCCATCCAGCTTCTAAGATGTCCCAGTAAGCCAGGAAAAACCCAGAAGATGAACACAGTTTACCATATTAAGTCCATTTTGAGTGATCCATACTTCCCTAGTATGACCAGATTCTGCTTCTCAGGCACATATTCTGTATTTTCATTATTAGCTTGTAGAATGTGTCGGGAGGTGGGGAATTTTATTTTAATGCCACTGAGTTTGAATTCGGTTCCACAAGCTTGGTAGGTAGCCACACCTACTGCTGGAGATTACATGCACAAGCCACCAGCCCCACAAATTTCAAGAACAGACAAGGCAGGGATGAAGTAGTTCTTACATGGGCACATGCACTGTATTGTCATCTGTTTCCTGATCCTTAGAAAATTATAAGTTGGGGTGGGAAAGATAAAATTTAAAACAATTTCAGAGGGTACTCTCAAATCAATTTTGGATATAGTAAAACTTTCTTATTAGGAAGAAATTAAGGATAACAATTGGATGAAGAAATGAAATGTATGAAAATTGCTGGATGTAAATTACAGTCAACCAGGTAGAATAAAAATACCTGCAATACATGCAATGTAAAAGTATTAGTTAGCCAGGCACCAGTGGCTCATCCCTGTACTATTAGCTATTTGAGAGACTGAGCTCTAGCGAGTAGAGGTTTCAAGCCAGCCCAAGAAAATTGTTTGAAAGACCCCATCTCCAATAAAACCAGAGGAAAATACATTAGAAGTGTGGCTCTAGACTGTTTTGCAATCTGGAAGTCCTGACACACAAAAAAAGTATTAGCTTACAGACTAAGCTATATGAATGGAATTGTGATGAGAAATGGCCAAAACATAACTTACTCAAGATGCAACACAATGCACAAAACCAGTGTTGATTTTGAATGGGGGCAGGGAAGGGGGAGAGGATTTGGGAACATTCTATGGTTTGTCCTGCTGTGCATACAGCACAGTGGTATCTTAACCTGAATTTTAAGTAGCTGTCAATGAACACTGTTACCACCTGGAAATAGTTCCAACCATTTAGGACTGGAGATAAGCAAATCCTATAAAATTCTCAATTATTTAAAATGACAATGCAGAAATACATGGGGTACTTAAACAAAATCCCTAACACCTAAGTTCCCCATGCAAGCAACTGTTCCCAAAGTGGCAAAAAAAGAAAGAAAGAAAGATCAACCCAGGGAATCATAGCTTTCTGGAACAGAAACTCATAAGCAGAACAAGAAAAGGAAAACTTGAACTGCAGCTGATAAACTGCTGAAGTCTTGGGTGTCTAGTAGTTTGATAGGAAAATTCTGGAAGAGATTCAGGGTTAGAGGACATCATACTTTTGAGAGTTTCACCTCCAAAAGCCCTACTGGGTTCTCACAGTACATTCCAGCCACCAACTGGTTAGAGAGGTTGGAAACAAGGTTCAGATGGTAGACACCTGCTTAGCAAGCATGACGCCCTCAGTGCAAACCCCAGTACCTCAAATGAAATAAACAGGTACAATGTGCTACTATTAAGCTATCAATTATATCAAAATGTGAATTATTTAAATACACCAATTAAGCAACAGTGATACAGTTGTTTAGAAACAAAGAACCAACTGTTCTTTTCATGAGACATCATTTTACACTTGAAGACATGAGTAGTTGAAGAGATACCATTCAAAGTATTCAAAATATCACTTGAAATATTGGCGCCAGTGCCTCCTACCTGCAAATCCTAGCTATTCAGGAGGCAGATATCAGGTGAATCACTTTTTTAAGCCAGCCTGGGTAAATAGAGACATTGTATCAAAAACAGCCTACACAAGGGCTGTTGGAGTAATTCAAGTGGTAAGAACGCCTGCCTGGCAACCCTGAGGCCCTGAGTTCAAAC